TAAATGAAGCTGAACCTATCTGGTGGTAGTGCATGCCTGAGAGATGATGTGTCTTGTATCTGCTACTTTCATGTCATCACAGTCCAATGCTCAGGAACAAGGTAAGAGAGGGAAGGCTTATTTGGGCTTACGGTTTTGGAAGAACTCAAGTCCATCACTGCAGGGAAGCATGGGAAGGACTCAGCTTGTGGCAGCAGGATCATGAAGAGAGAAGACATGTCTATTGGACCTCGAAGGAAAGAGAGAGGGGCCAGACCCAAGCAGGTACGTCTTTAGAGACTCCACCACTTGCTATCTATTTTGGATAGTCAGGCCCCACCTTTTAAAGGCTCTGCCACCTAAAGCAACAACGTCAGCTGGGGATCAAAAATTCAAACCCGTGAGCCCATGGGGACATTCAGATTCAAACCATCTCTTATCTACATAGTCATTAAAGTCATTAAAACGTTTTAAAGATTTACATGTGGGAATGTTCTGCCCACACATATGTATGAACACCATTTGTGTGTCTGGTGCCTGCATATGGGTTTGAGCCACCATGTGGATGCTGGGTCCTCCCTCTGCAAGAGCAGCAAGTACTCTTCACTGAGACGTATTTATTTGATAAATAATTTTTAAATTATTTATCAAAATATTCTCATTTCTGGATTCATGGAGTTAATATTATTTACTCTTGGGTATTCCCTTTAGTATCACTTCCAAAGCATTTTTATTTGTCCCTTTAAGACAGAGTGTCACTCTGTAGCCCTGGCTAGCCTGAACACACACTTGGCTACCTCTGCTTCCCAAATGTTGAGATTAAAGGCATGACCACCACACTAGGCCATTACTATTGGAAATACTATCATTGGTGTTTCCCAAAACCATGGTCATGTAGGAGACAGATTAAAGTGCTTCTGGCACTTTACAGACAAAGAGCAGTGAGCAAAATACATGCATTCTCTGAACTTCAGTGTCTTCATCCATTAAAACAGACCAATCCACCATAGTGGTAAAGACCTGAAACTGTCGAATGTCAGATATGCAAAGGCATTTGATATGTGAGTCAAAAAAGTGCAGGTCATTTTTCTTCTCTGTGGTCTTAGTTTGTTGATTATTTTGTATATTGAGATACTTTACATGTGCTTTTGTAAGAGGAAACTAGGATTTCTAGTTGGGTATTAGAAAATACCCAACAGAATACAACTCCTATATATGAGAAGCAGAGTCCAAGAGACTCCCAAAACAGTATAGGTTATTTCTGTCAACCCTGGTTGCCTCCCAGAAGTGAAGGTAGGTCCCTCCCTGTTGCTGAAAACATGCACCTCAGAGGCTGGACCCAGAGGATCCACACTACATCTGACCTGAAAGACTCGTCCCCGAGGTTCAGTTTTCATAGCACCGGAAGGCGCTATAAGCAACCCTCCCCAGCTGGGGTGTCTATGAACCACAACAGCCAGTATGGCACAGTAACCCTAGTGGCACACAGCTTGCCGGCAAGCAACAGCTCTCTAATTGGAGTTAAGGCCTCTCAACAAGAGGGAAATCCTGACTGGCTAGTGATGTCGTGGATCGTAGAGAACCTACTGCTGCTACTTAATTCGGTCAATTTATCCACACACCACAGACGAGTACAACCCTCAGCCCCTCATCAATGGAACATCTCTCTGCAATAGACAGATACCATAACAGACAAATTGTCAAAATTCAGAGAGCAGTTAATCTTGGGAAGGCCTGCCTCGGTGGCTCCATCTACAATGAAATTCCTGAGTCTAAGGCTCAGGGAACATCAAGGAAGAGGAGGCAGAAAGATTCTAGGAGCCATAGGACCAAGAAATCTACTGTGAGGTTGGGTTTCCTAGAAATGACAGGGAACATCATCCATGGTATCTCAAGACTTAACCGAGCACAACACCAATACATGTGGTAACAGGGAAGGGGGAAATCTCACAGGGCCCCACCCCTAGACAGAGAATGCAGGCAACAATAGAATGCTAAGAGCAGGAGAAACAGTCTTCTCCAGAAATGTGCTTCCTAAGGGTTAGCCAATATCAATTGGTCAGCCCTAAAATAATATGTATACAAGCAACACTAAATGGACTGAGCAAGTTATATTTATATACTTAGGTATGTGTACGTATGTATAAAAATATACATATTTACTTGTTTATATGTACATACATATGTATGGTATCACACACACACACACACACATACACACACACACACACACACACACACACACACACACACACACATACAACCAAAGAAAAGAGGCCATGAATTTGAGAGGGAAGGGGAGGGGACATGAAAGGAGTTGGAAGGAGGAAAGGGAAGAAAAAGCTTTGAAATAGAGCTCAAAATGTAATCTGTAAGATTTCTTTGTAAAACTTCATTGAGCATTTTTTTTTTAATAGGTTGGGTGCCTGAAAGTTACATGGGGAAACGGTCAGTGGAAGTCCTCCAACCCACTGGAGCACTTTTTATAAACACATCTTAAAACCAAGAAATGGAATGTTTTGGTATACAGAGCCTCATGCACAAGTCTTATAAATCAGAAACTCCTGGACTCCAAGTGCTACCAGGTCACTTCCGGCTTATCTGACCATGCTTAATTTATATGCTAAGCTTGGAGATCTTCACCCATTTAAGCTGGAATACTGAGAATCCCTATGTTGGGACTGTCCTGAGGAGACACGGCACATAAACACTTTAACGTACACAAAGCATAATGTAAGTGTGATAACTATTTCCAAACTCCTCAAACTCAAAAGTTAAAGTATATTTTCATCAAAACAGCAATAAGCAGGGTGTGGTAGAGCACGCCTTTACTCCCGGCACTCAGCAGGCAGAGGCACGAGATTTTCTGAATTTGAGGCCAGCCTCTTCTACAAAGTTGAGTTCTAGGACAGGACAGAGCAGGGCTACGCAGAGAAACACATTGTCTCAAAAACCAACAAACCAACCCAACAAACGAAGAAAACAGTAATAGTGTAAAATGTAAAAATTAAATTCTTGTGATTCAATTCTCTTGCTTTGATGTTTGTCTCCTGTATCCAAGGTTTTTTGTTTGTTTGTTTGTTTCTCTTATTGCTCATGAATGCACTTTCTGCATTAGGACCCCTCAATGCATTTCTGCCCAAGCCCTAAAACCAGTGGAGAGGGTGAGATCTCCTAATGGAAAGTGCTTGCTACCTTGCTTTCTTCTTCAAGACCCTGGCCTGCTCCCTATGGGGCTTATTAGTTCAGATACTATTTAATTTCTTTGCTTAAAACTGGGGACAGTGACAACTAACATTTAGTACCTCTAATGGTGACATACTACGCTAGATGAATTGCAAACAGCATTTTGTTTCTTCTAACAAGTAAGGCAGAGCTTTGCATTCTTGCTCCTGAGATGGGGAGGCAAAGACCTTGACAGCCATTTGCTCAAATCATGCAGCTAATTAGTGGCAGTGTTCATGCAAGCAAGGCATCAATTATACAGTGAATTTTGTTACTTTGACCAAAAGAATCTCAGGCACTAAAGGGCGAATAAACCAGCTTTTCTCCAATCTTAGTAATCTGTTTACTTGCCTCTGGAGAATGGGGAACTTTTGTTTTACAGAACAAATTCAGTATTGTTGCCAACAGATAGGAACGGTATGGAGTCGACTAAGTTGTGTTTCTTCCATTGAAGGTACAAGGAAGTTTCTTGTCTTGTACCGAATTCTGCAGTCATTCCGAAAGCAGCCCAGCTTTCGGTGTATTTTGGAGAAGCCTGTACGACACTAGCCATTTAAGGTCAAGCTACTGGGGAACTCTAAACCACGTGCACTGAGCCGGTTTCCATCTCTGAGCTTGCAGAATCTCGACATCTAAGAGCCCTGCTCCATTCTCAGTGCTGCACAATTCCTCCAGGGAACTACTGAATAAACCTCTTGTCAGCATCCACTACCTAGACGCCCGCTCCAGCCTGCACCCTGGTTCTACCCACGCTCCCTACTATCTTTCCCGCACACTCAAGGAAGCCGGGCACCAGACTGCCGGGCAGGTCTCCGACTAGCTCCGAGGACCCGGAGGGCGGAAAGACACCGGCGGCGCGCACGGGGGCGCGCGGGCCGGGGCGGGGACGGCGTGCGGCGTCGGGGGGCGGGCGCACACCGCGTCTCCGCGCAGCTCGCCTTTGTTCTCTACCATTGTGAGGCGCTTCCTCGTCGGGCGCTTCGCTTCTGCACCCTGCGGGGAGCTCGGAAGGGGCTTTGGGGGCTGTAGTTTGTGGTATGTGAGGCTGCCCTGAGCCTGGCCTGTCCCTCGCCGCCCTCCTTCCCCACGCACGGCTGGAAGGCCGATTGCAAAGAGCCTCCTGTCCCCCCGGCGGCTGCACCGCCCGCTCTCTACCGGCTGCGCCCGCAGGAGGCGTCCCAACCCAGCACCGGGGAGCGCACGTCCCGATCGGCCACCGGGGCGACCCGTTCTCTGGGATCCGCACGGGGAACGGGCGCCGGCGGCCCGGACCAACCCCGCAGCGAGGGTCGGAGGCTGGGGTCGCCTCGGCGTCCCGGGGACCGGTGCGAGTGTCGCGGCGGCCCTCCCCGGTCGCTCGAGCTCCCCGACCGCCCGGCGGCCGCCTCGGCCCCCTTTATATAGCCCTCTAAAAATAGCTCGCCTCGCGCCGCCTTGTAAGGCAGCAGGGAGATCCGCGGCGCGCCAATCGGCGGCCGCCGTCGGGGCCGGGCCCCGCCCCGGGGCCCGCTCGGAGCGCCGCATTGGTCCTCAGTGACTTCATGAGCCCCCTGTTTACCTTACATGGTCACACGCGGCCCTAATGGACGCCCTCCTCCGAGATCCCATGGCTGCGCGCAGAGCCGGGCGGAGGGAGGGTGTTTGGGGAGGGGTGTGGA